GGGGGACTGGAGCCGATTTGCCTATCCAGACCAATGAAGCTACGGCATTTCGGTGGATACCGGATCTGATCAATCCGGCGTACCTGCCTATTTCCTGACCCTCTTTCCTGATTCTTTTTGCGGTTTCTGTTTGTCGCTGTTGCTTCCTGTTCGGTGTCGATGTTGTGACCTGTTGATTTGCATTTGCATTCAAGCATTTTTACTGACTGCGTTTTGCATCTCGGCTAGTGAAGCCTCTCGAGATAAGTGTGTTTACCCACGGCCTGTCCGACATGGCGCTGTGGGCTGGACTCGCCATATGCGGGAGCCCCCTGCGAGGGGAAGACCGTTCAAGTGTTCAAGTTCAAGCTGCAGTTCAGTTCAGCGCGTTTGACCACGATCAAGGCTGCAGCTTGAGGTCTTAAGGTATTCCGCACCCTACTGGTGCTCTGATGGTTTCATGCGCCTGCACTGCCTGCACTGCCTGCCTTTGAAGCAAGGCTGCACCCACGAGGTTTCAGGCTCCTAAGCTTCATGCGCCAGTGACGAGTTGGTCATACACCAACTCTGCGATTCGTGGCGTTTATGGAAGCTTTCGTCTCGGATGAGTTCAGTTCAGATTCATCGGCATAGCCACATGACACATGAGGCACTTTCATGAGGCCACTTGACAGGCACCTCTGAGAACCCCTTTGTGCTCGCATGCATTTCTGTGGAAACTTTTGCCGTTGCCGCGGGGTTTTGGCGGTCCCCTGGTGGAATTCCCTCTGTTTGGTTTCGATTCGCAGGTTGAAGTTGGCTCGCATGCATTTGCACCTTTGACGCTTTTCTGCTGCAGGTGTGGTTTTGTTTTCACCCCTTTCCAACCTTCTCTCTCCCTTGCGAGATGGCTGGACACCAGCTCTATGACATGATGCATTCGCTCCTGCACAGCATTGCGACCGGCACCGCGTCCGGCTCACCAGGCAATTGTGGACCGAACTTGCAGCTGTCATCCCAGATGACGCAGCCCATGAACCTTGTACCGTCACCCAACTCGCAGACGGCATCCTTCACACCTTTCCCCATGATGCCCTACGGCGGCCTCTCGAACTTTGGCAACCCGATGGCCATGATGCCCTACGGTGGCCCTCCCAATTACGGCAACTTGGCACCTGGCACCATCATGCCTTTCATGACTCAGAGCAGCATGCCATCTTCACCGCCCGAGCCTCAGCCGGCGCGCGCG